AGTTTATAAACTGTAGGTGCAGGTGGGTGTGGGCCAGGCTGTTTTCCCATTTTCAAGCCCAGCTAATCACCTCCTAGGTCTACTTCCATCCATAAAGCACTGACATGAGACTGGTGTGGATCTGCTCATTTAAAACATTTGCTATAGAATTTCCATTAGTCTTCTTTAGCTAAAGTTATCACAAATTTAGGTTTTACAGCACAAACTAAGCTTCAAGTTTGACTTGTCATTTTGTAAGTTTACTGTAGAATATATAGATGCCGGGAACCAAAATACAAGAAAAATGATACAGGCACTTACAAAAGAAATCTTTAGTAATAATCACCGAAATTGTTGTAGAACAGTTCAAAATATATTTCCCTTATTTATACATTCAACTACAGCAACAAATGTGAGAAGAACACTTTGCATGTAAAGCGCTTTTATCCCAGTTTGTTTTTGTGCTATTCTCACTGAAAGTCACTCAGTGGATATATTAATAACTGAAAGTTTTAAATGTTTTCTCAGCTTGTCTGAAAGAGGAAAATTACTCACTGAATTAAAATACATTGCGGGGGGGCACTAATCAGATCAGTATAATTAGATCCTACTATTGTCACAGTAGTGTCTTTCCATACCAGTGCAGCTTACTGGACTGAATAGTAAATTAAAAAAGCAATAGACTGAGCTGACCTCAGTCCTCCTACCCCTCCCTGCCTCTACAGCCTGGTTCTACCTCCCTCAGCTGGAAAGTACGTTTGTTTGTGTGTGAGCACGGTAATGAGACATTACAGTTGATGTATATGTACAGTACACTGGTGTGAGTGTGTGGATTGTATGTGTGTGTCTGTGTTTTCCTGTCTGCCTCTGTGGGATGGACTCTGTAGGTCTGAATGCTGATCAGAAAGGTCCTTGTGTCGGGTGGAGGCAGTGGAAATCCCCTCTTACATTGTGGTATTAGTGTATATGTGTGTGTGTGTGTGTGTGTGTGTGTGTGTGTGTGTGTGTTAGAATACATTTGGCTTTTGAATGTTGTTTCCCTTTGGTCCATCTGAGTCTGTGAGAGCACACATGCCACTTCTCTTAAAACAAGTGTGACTATAAAAGCATGTGTTTATTGGTAACAATCAGGGAGTTTGTAACTAGAATTTCTACAAATGGTATAATTTTATGTGCAGCCAGTGTGACAAGCTATTAGCAGCAGTATCTGCGTTTTATTTATTTTAAAACTGCACAGATTATTTAAACTAAAACTCAAACAGAAGTCTCACCTTTTAACTATGCTGATATTTGCCGTTATCACATTCCAGCTATATTATCCTACCATTACCCAGTTACTATTAAGGTTAACTCAGAAATAGTGCAACAAGTCCATGTCTTGTACATTGATTTTGGCTGCAGAATAAAAACAGACTGGATTGTGAGTTTTTTTATGGCCACTCACGTGCCATTTTCCTCTCAAATGAAGTATTTAAAGCAGTGACTTTAGATTGGATAGTTTCTGTGACTGTCGTAATAGAACTGAGAAATAACTCAGAGTCTGTCTCCAACGCTTCAGTACTAAGCACATAAATTTTTGTGTTTTATGTGACATGGGGTAAAAAAGGTTCAGCAATGCAGTAAACACTGGTTCTGCGTGCTAGCAGGGCAGAAATCAGAGTAAAACTGTTATACAAGCGTTATAGTTAAATGGCTCTGGCACCTAACTCAGCTGGCCTTGTGACCAGTTTTTTGTCTTTACTCACTAAACCAGATTTGAAGTCTCTCTACCCATTTTTGTGTGTTTTTGAAATCATGAAAGTGATTAAGAGCTCAAGTTGTCAATTTACTTTTACCCCTGATGCAGCCTCACTCCAACACACATGCACAAATACACACACCCATATTCTCAATTACTCACACTCATTAGTAACCCCTCCATCAATCAGTCCAGTTAGAGTACATTTAAATATTCCAACTGAATCTCTGAGAAGTCATATTTTTTCCATTTCAGAAATTGTGGAATTTATTTCTCTTCTACGTGCAAGTCTGATTTTCCTTGGAATTCTACATTGTCTACATCTCTGTTAACTTGCAATCTTTTTCTTTCCTGCCTTCACATTACCACTACCTGTAGATCAGTGAAATAATGTGCAACCATTGGCATCACGTCACTAGTGTGCGTGTGCATTCACCAACAAAACAGAAGCTCACTCATTTAACAAACTGCTCTATAATGCTACTAAAGATTAAAAAAAAAACTTTAGAGTAGCTTTAACTCTGTGCTACTGTTGCTAAAATTATCAAATATCACCCCAGAATCCAGAGGATAAATGACTGCAACTGCTGAATGTGATAGCCAACTTTTACAAAGCTTAATCTTCAGCTTCCATGTGTTGTGAGCAGTGCAGAATTTGAAGCTTGGTGCTCAGTCTGGTACCTTTGACCTTTTTCTTACTCAGTTACTCATCTGCTAGTTTTGACTTTGGCTGAAACCTAACATTTTCTATGGAGGAAATCAAACAGTCAACTTCTTCTGAAACCTTGGAGGCTCAGAGAAAAAAAACACCACTTTTCTTCATAGTAATTCTGGTGCATTTGGTCCAGTACAGAATTACAAAGCCCCACTATATGTTACAAGCCATAAACACGGCATAAAAAAATTACTTTTTAATATTACTACACAGGCTAAAGAGAAGTTTTTGCAGAGAATGAAGAAACTGAATCTGTCAACAAGCCATTAAGCTACAACCACTGGTATGTTTCTTGCTGTCTTAGCAGAGTTTAAAAGTTCAAAGGAGAAAACTGTTAGAATGGAAATGACCTTCAAAAACACAAACCCTCCAAAACACTCCACCTTAAACCCAAATTATGAGCCACCTTTTAGTTTTTTGGTGCCACCAGTTAGCAGGTATTGCTGGCTGTTACCATAGAAACACAAGTCATAGTTGTAGGTCACCCTTAGGGCAGGGTGGCTAATTTTTAGGCTAACATAAATCGGTTTTTATTTTTGTGAAACTAACTTGTATGAGACTAGTCTAATAGCAGCACTGTGAAACCGGCCCCTGGAAAGAAAGATCTGGAGTGTGAGTCTTTCCAAGATCAGACGCTGGTGGAGTCAAACTAAACACTCCCTCTCCTCTCCTCAATCCCCTCACCAGTGTGAGGGCAGGCTGTGGGCAGAGTGCCTCTCATGTTTTGGAGAGCAAACAGACTCGTGTCTTTGATGGTGAGGAGATCAGAGCCGGGGACACATTCTGCGTGGCCATGCTAAGGTCGCCGCAATGCACACCCTGTTGCCATGTTATGCTCTGCAGCTAGGAGACATGGAGTATACACAATGCAAGGGCAGCAGATGTGTGTGTGTGTGTGTGTATACAAGTTCAACCCCACCAGCCACCCCATCACACAACCTCTCTGTTTCCAACCTTAATGTACAGTTGTCTGTAAACACCTTTAAACTACAGGAATACTGACTCTTAGTTTGTACAAGAACATTTCAGTAGTGGTGACAACACGCTCCTCTTGTTCTTCTGTGTCTCTGGTCATCTGCAGCGTGTAGTGTAAACAATATTCTAAGAGAAAAGTCTCTCATTGATAGATAATCAAGCTCATGGTGACATCAGGGTTTTAGTCTAATAGAAAATAAAACAGTGAATCATCTTCCTAAGAAAGACTTTTTAAAGAATCCATTGTTATTTACAATTTAACAGTTTTTGACCTTTACCCTTCAGTTTTACTTGACTTAAAATCTTGGATTAAATATGTTAATTTTGAGTATGAGGTACCAAACATTATTACACACTCCTTTAATTCTATTTAATATTGGTTCATGTTTTACATTTATTTCTATTTTTTACTTTTGTTGCACTAAAATCTCTGTATGCTACTTTTCTTTGCATGAATGGTGTAAAACAAAACATTCTATAGAATTTAATGTTTAATATAGAGCTGAAACTATTTAACAAATCCAGTAGTTGATTGATTGAAATATTCAGCAACTATTTATAGTCTTTTTTTTTGTCAGCAAAAATGTGAAGATTGTCACTTTTTTTTTGTCCTACCTGATAAAAAGCAACTCAAAAGACAACCACACATTAGCATACACACCCTGGCTGTTGCTAAACATTACAGAATTATTGGTAATTTCTTGTAAAATTAATGCCTAAGTCAGTTCCTCTAATTTCTGGGCTACTGTACATTTGTGGCCGTGCTGCCTATGATTGAGCCTTTGACCTACATGCTGCATAAACAACCACCACATGTCTTCACAGCAGCTGTTATCTTTTTTGGCACCAGACTAAAATGACAAATTACTATATCCTACATCTTTATCATGTGGGGGCCCACCAGGGACAGTTTGGCCCATTACCACGTTTGTGGCTCAACTGTTGTCTAAACAAAACCGTATCACTACTTGTCATGTCTGTAATCAGATTACATGGATTAAATAATTAATTTATAATCGGTGTTTATTGATGTGCGTCAGAGAAGGCAAAACATAAATTCATAGTTATCACAAAGGTTTGGTTTGGCATGACAAAACCGTGTTTATGCATGTGTGTGTAGATTTGCTTCCTGTGTGGTGGGATAAAGTATATGTGTGTGGCAGTGACGAGGGGGTGGGTGGGGGAGTATCTGGTTTCCTGCTCTGGGGAGTTGATTTTATGTAAATGACTCAAGGGCATAATATTGGAGGGCCAAGGAGAGGGGGGTGGGTCACACACATATGCACCAATAGAAAAGTTGAGCGTGGCTCAGAGTAGGCTCATGTCCTAGCTTTCTCTCTATGTTCATCTGATCTCTGCTGACAACTGCAAGTCCCACCACTTCACCACAGCTTCACCTCCTCATGATGAAGGAGCGCTGCAGCCGGGTGCCTCCTCTTGCCATTCCCCCTCCTCAGCAGCAGCAACAGCAGCAGGCACCCCGAGCAGGGCCCATGGATGGATGCTGCCTGGGAGTGACTGGGCAACACTCAGGCTTCATGTGCGGTGTCTGTTCTGACTGTGTTTCTCTGTGTGCTGACTGCTTGCTGACAGATGAGGCGTACCAGAAGCTGGCCACGGAAACGATGGAGGAGTTGGACTGGTGTCTGGACCAGCTGGAAACCATCCAGACCTACCGCTCTGTCAGTGACATGGCCTCCAACAAGGTAGGACAGGCTGCTTTATATCTGTTTTCTGGTTTTAGTTTTTTCAATATGTGCCAGCATTAGTGGAAAGATTTGTGAGGCAAGAGACAAGAGGCTGATGTTGCAAGTGTTTTATTTCATTCAGAGAAAAATGCGAGACACAGAAGGAGTATATTTAAGAATTTACAGCAAAGTAAACCAGATTTAAAAACAAATACCTAGGAGGAAACTGTAAACCTCAGTGGAAATGAGAGCGGATTACTGAAAACGGGCTGCACAGGTGTTAAAACCGACCCCCAACAACGCTGACGTGTGCAGGGGACAGAGAACCCCTGGGGCCCAGGTGTGTTCCACGCCAGTGACTTTACTGGCTGAGAAGTCCTGCCCCTGCAGACAGAAAGAAGAGAAGCAAGCAAGGGGTCCCATCCCAACATGTGCAGTATGAAAGAGGAGTTTAGGTTATAGCTGTAAACAGTGCTAGCATGAGTACTGACTGCTTACCAAGGCCACCTGTACATTTGTATGAATATGACTGGATATTACTCATCTGATGATTTCTGCCTAAACGCAACTCAACCAACTTAAGTTCAGTAGCTTTTTCTGTCTGTGTGCAAAGACGGTCTGACAATAGGAAATGTGTTTCGTCTCTAGGCTTGCTCTGCATCTTTTCATCTTTCCTGTCAAACAACTTTTCACTGTCTGCTGATGTGTGATGTGCACGAATGTTCAGTTCCTTGTTTTTTATATAAGTAACCGCTGACAGAGCCCATATTGTTGAGCAATATTTTGGTTTGTATCATAAGTTTTTTTTGTATTACTTTGAACTTACTGCTTGATTGATTTTGCTGCCTTTGGTTTGTTCCTGATGAAGTGCAAACTCTTGCTGGAGGGGTTTTTTTGTCTGGAGTAGGAGGGCTAAGCCATCATTTTCCTGCACACTTCAGGGTCCTGGAGTTGTGCAGGTTCTGAAGTGAGGGCAGATTGTGGCCAATCACACTCTCAGCCATGTCACTGATAAACAGCAGTTTGCTCTTGTTCTTGGTGTGAGGCAGCAAGCCAAATGGTGATGGAACAGGTCAGGATGGCAGTGTAGAGGAGCACCGTCTTTAGTAGGTTGAACATCTCAGCTGCTTCAGGAGGTACTTTCACCGCTGTGTCTTCATTGTTAAGGAGCCACTGTTCTGCTCCCTAACTTGTTCTGTAGCAGGACCAGGATGATGGTATTCAATGCTGAGCTAAAACCCACAGATAGGATCCTGGTGTAAGTGCACTGGAGTCCAGACGCTGGAGAGTGAAGTGGACGGCCATGTTTAACTTTGGATCTGTTGCCTTTTTAGGCAAACTGCAGGGGGTCCTGGCATAGGTCGGGGATGTCTTTGAGATGGCACAGCATTAGGCACTCAAATGACTTCATTACCATAGACATCAAGGAAACAGGTATGTTGTCTTTAAGTCCTGCACACCATGGCTTTTTGGGGACATGGATGATAGTGGAGGACTTGCAGCAGGCTGGAACGAGGCATGTCTCCAGTGAGGTGTTAAAGATGTCAATAAACCTGAGAGAGCTGGTCAACTCAGTGCTTCGCAGTGTCTGGCCCAGATGCTTTGTGGGGGTTCTGTCTCCTGAACAACTTTTTACCATCTCTCTCCAAGATGGTGTGGGCTGTTGTTGTGCTTGAGGGTGAGGAAGATGGGGCCTCAGGGGCCCAGGCCCCTGCAGTGGTCGGGGGGCTGGAGCCAGAGAGCTGAATCTGATGGTCAGTGTCATGGCTGTTGGTGTTAAAATTGTCCCTTTGTCTTTAAATATGGCAATAAAACTAATTTGTCGTTGCCCGTGCATAGGCCATTACAGGGACAGGGGGCTGCAGGTTTGTAGTTGGTGATCTGTCTAAAGCCTTTCCAGACAAAAGCACAGTCATAAGCTGAGAACAGTGATTGAAGATTACTTCTTTAACATGTCTTTGTCCCCACTCTTGAAAGCTTCTTCCTTATCCAACCTTAGCCATCTTAGTTTAGCCATGAACCAGGGGTTGTCACTGTTGTAAAACACCCTGGTAAATGTCCATATACATCTGTCCTTACAGATCTGATACAGGATGTTACAGCCTTATTGAGACTGTTAGTAGCTATCCAGAAAACATTCAGTACAATCCAAGTACACAAAGACACTCCATAGTGCCACTGTTTCACTTTAGATGTCTTTGTCACTGGTTCAGAAAGCTTGTATTTCTGCCTGTATGTAAGAATCAGATGGACCGTGATGTGGTCGGTGTGCCTCAGTGCAGTTCCCTCCCTGGTCAGGTATTAAATAAATTGTCTCTATTTGAGGTGATCATGGCTCAAGTTGCCTTTAGCCTACACCTTTTACCAGAATTTCGAATTAAATCAAAGCTAAGATGAGAAAACTGGGAAATAAGTCCAACAACACACTGAATTACCAAATAAAACAAGACAAAGCAGCATGTACCACCACACCAAAGCGGTCATCTATGGCACCTCTTTGCTGTTGGAGTCACGTTTAAACATTTTACTAACTCAGCATCAGCTCAGCCTCTTTTACAACTGTAAATCATCATTACCACTTTCAGAAAAGTTTCCTATGGCTGTGCTGTAGCAGCCGTAGGAGATTTCAAGCTGTTTGAAAATTTGTCAAAAGTCTGCTTTGGATGCTGTGAAGCTGTAACTTTTTCAAGCTTGTATGCTCACAGAGCATAAAGCAGAATCCCCTAGTGTCTTCTATTTAAATTTTTATGATGCAAATGCAAAAATATTTTCTTTTTTCCCCCTTGTGCACAGATGATCTAACAAATAGAGATTTTGGTGTCTTTTGTGAGTTTGGGGGTCCTCTTTTCATCTTTCATGCCAAAACATTTTTCTGTCCACTGCTTATTCTATTCTTTCTGTGTAATGTGCAGCAAAGTTTAGTTCCTGGTTCTTTATTTAAAAAGCAGGAAGTTGACAGAGCATGATAGAGAATGCAAACAATATTTGGCTGTATCTAGTACATCCCTTGGTTTATTGAGCTTTGTCTTGGAGAAGTTTATATCTAAACACTTAATACTTTTCACTCATGCTCTGTCTCTGACTAACTAAATTATCCTTATTGTGTAAGACATGACTACTGTATTATTGTACCTTAGGGATGGGTAAAGTCTAGGCAGCCAGATAGTCAGCACTGAAGCACACTCAGAAGCCAGAAAACTGTTCTGGTTTATGTGTTAGATGAGCAATTTTTCATTCAGGTGAATGGTCCAGTATCTACTGCCCATAATACTTCCATGGCTATAACAGTAACACGAGTTCAGTAAACATGAGTGGGACTGAATGCCCGGCCATTTTTGTTAGAGATCTAACCTAACAAAAATGATGCCTTGTGCACTTGAAAAAGGGTGACACAACTTAGTGTAAGTTACAGATTTCAGCTTTTTGGTTGATTTAAAATTATTAAACACATTGCTTGTGGTAGTGAAACCCCATAAAACTGTTTGTCAAGTGAGCCAAGAGCAAAAGCTTTTTGTTTCTCATATAACAGCAAAACAGGATGCAAGGTGTCTGCAGTGGGTCATACACAGCCTAGAAAGGAAGAGAGCATCCAGACCTACCGCTCTGTGTGTGTGTGGTGTGTGTGTGTGTGTGTGTGTGTGTGAGGGGTCCATGTAGACCCCTGGGGAGAGTGACTCTCTCTTCCTGTCTCCTTCCTGATCCCCTGCTCTCTCTCCAGACGACAACAGGCATCCTATCGTGGTCATTTGGATAGTTAATGGTAATGTTTATTTATCACATTGCTGTCGTCATCTGGACAATGATCCAGAGCTGACAGTCAGCTGGGCTGATCTCATTTTGGGCACATGAGGATGACTGATTCATAGAGTAAATACATTTAATAATTTAAATAAATTTGCATTGAGGCATGTATAGTAGGACTTAGGACCGCAGAATGACACTGGGGATATAGCGAGTAAACGAAGGACACAGTACATAGGTGTGTCCAAGGACAAATATTATTGGTGTATCCGTGCTAAACTGTACATTTTTAAAATTTGTTTCACACTGTCAGAGGAATGATTATGGGATGTTTTATGTTTCTCTCTTAGTTACAGAATAACTCAAAAGGCTAACCTTTCAGAACTATGTAAATCTAGATTTCTCAGAAATGTGGTTTTTGTGAAGAGAAAACATGCGCGCTGGACGTGACTGACCTACAGTGCAGCCTACCATGCGCTTGTAGGGCTTTATGACCCTCTCTCATTGATGTGACTTTGGCAGGTGGGTGAATGTGTCCCGACATGTAGCCATCTGTGGATAGATACTGATAAGGCGCGTTCTCCATCAGACATGTTTGTCTAGTATGCAGTTTGTATCTCTGTGTGTTTAAGTGTGCATGTGGCTGTGTATCCATATTAACAGTAGATGAATCCCACTGATATCTAAGCTGCCATAGCCCTTGTTTTGACGGTAGAGAATTAACATTACACAACTGCTGCCCCTGGGTCATGTGGCTCTTTACACTTGCCCAGGTTTATTTAAAAAGAACATTCCAATTAGCTGATGTGAGCCGTGACTACCTGTTTTATTTAGGATGGAAAAATTGTTTTTCATGTTGTGGCAGAGTTTGAAACATGAGTATGGGGTAGGTGAAATGGGAGAAGCTGTTGTTGCAGCGCCAAGGTGAAGTGCAGGGGACTGCAGCTGGTGAGGACTCAGAGAATGTGACTGTCCTCGATACTGACATAGAGACGTCAAGGCCTGTCTGAAGGCTGTAGATCCTCTGTTATTGAAACTAGGGCAGAAATCACAAGTCATGTAATGATTATTCAATTGACAATAAAATTCTGAAAATCAAAAATGATTAAGTGATTCCTCAATATTCCCAGCTACCAGTTTCTCATATGATTTACTGCTTTTCTTTATGTCATTGCATAGTAAGTATCTTTGAGCTGAAACGATGAGAGGATCAGTCAGCTTTGTTGGTTACAGCTTCTAAAATGTGAGGAGTTACTGCTTTTTTCAGTTGTATTTCT